ATCCCTCAAGAAGAAAGCACTAGGGATTGACGTCATTCCCTCTAGCGATAGCTATCTTTCCCAGAGACCTATACAGTCTTCCAGACTTACTGCCTTGCCTTGTGGTTGAGGCCCCCTCAAAAGAGGAAAGTATTGGTTATAATTTACATTTTTTCCTATACCTGCATGGTCCACGTAACTCACAGTACTAGTGAAGGGAAGCATCTGGGTTTATTCCTCGACATCATGATTCTCTCTCTTGCTGCTCCTTGGCTTTGAATCCTACTTGGTGATGAATCTTCCCCACTTGGTCCAGGAATGTGTCATTTTCCAGTAACTCCTCCTTTTCTCTCTGGGAAGCTTAACAGAATCTTTGTATTATCCACAAACCTTTGCTAGTTCACGACTACTTCTCTCTTTTCTTGATTAGTGGAATAGGGCAAATAGTCCACTATAGCTAGGTGGCCTCTAGCCATCCTTCACTTTATACCTAGTCCATATCCTTGCCAGTTGCCTCTACTATATCCTCCACCATGCCCCCATAATCAAATACCATCAATGCTACTGGGAAGGCTGTGTCAATGTATTCCCCTCACATTCCTGTAACTTTCCAAACCAAAATACCTTTCTGAATGCAGCTCCTTTATATGTGCTGTCTCCTCCTGTTAAAATATAATCTCCTAAAGGGTAAGGACAATATTAATTTTTGTATTTATATTCCCAACTCTTAGAATGATGCTTGGCACATAGTAAGTATTTAATAAATGCTTTTTTATTCATTTATTCAATTCATTGTTATCTCTGGGGCCACATGGCTCTCTAAATGGGTTTTACATATGTACAGGCTTCTCCTGGGAAATGAGTTTAAGTCTCTGTGAACAGCCCTCTCTTTTTGGCATCTATTTGCTCTCTAGTTCATGTTCCTGGAGGCTTGGAACCTTGGCCAGGCTCCTCCAGGGCTTCTACATTGGATGGCAGTGTATAGAGGCAGGAGTAGAGTGTCAAAGAGTTCTTAGACAAATTTCTAGCCCAAGCCTCCTGGGCTCAGAGTAGTGGTGGAGGACAAACCATGAACCAGAGGCAAGAAACAGCAAGGGACAGAGCCATGACATAGAGGAGCAGATGCAAACATTGTTCTACATTGGCATTTAGCTATTTGGTTAGAGGAGGGGCAGGAGGGGAAGAAGTTGATTCTCTTGCAACTGACCCTAATTCTCTTGCTTCTCTCCCTGCCCCCCGGACTTTTCTTGGTGACGGCGAGTGGTCTCAACCACAGGGTATTCCTATAAGTCTAGAGGACTGCATAGATTCCCTGGACGTGAAGTTCACCAGAGGAAGAGGAGTTGAAGTGTTCTTCCCTTGCAGGAGAGAGGTGGGGCTCAACCCTGGGATAGAGTCCTTTGGGAAAATGGAGACCCCCCAGAGAGGGAAGGAAACTTATCTTGGCTGTCTATAGGCTTTGGTTTGAACTGTTCTGTGTTTTCTGTTGGGTTAAAGATTGTTCTATATTCAACAAACTCTTAGCTAGCATGTTCACATAGGAGCTGAGGACCCTCTTACCCACGCCTCGGCACAAGCTAAATTCTGAAGTTCTTAGGAAAAACCGTGGATAGGGGCAGGACACAAGAGTAATACATGACATTCCCAAGACTGAATCCAGTCCATAAAGCTTATTCCTGGACCAAAATGCTGGACCATTGGTTACAAATAGAAAGAAGGACTAAATAAGTCTAGGTATGGCCACTATAGAGGATTTCTTCGGACCTATGAAAACAGAAGGGAACATGACAGCTATTTTAAAAGACGCGAAGGGCTTCACATGGAAAAGGGATTACACTTGTTGTATGGCAACAAAAGGAGGCAATTGCAATGAGATAAATTTAAGTTTGTTACAGAGAATTTCCAAACAATTAGAATTATCCATAAATGGAATGGCCTGTCTCTAACAGTAGCAGGTTCCCTTTTACTGGAAATTTTCAAGCAAAAGCTGGATGACCATTTGGTCAAACCTACAGGAGAGAGGGCTGTAACCAGCAGTGAAATTTTTAGCCATTTTAATGTTAATGTACCAACATATACCCAAAGGCTAGGTATGCCACAGTGGGGACTCATGTTTAAGTATGAGTTGAGTTAGGCAGATGGCCACTGAGATTTGTTCTATCTCTGAAAGTCTGTGATTGTGTGGACTGTAAAAAATGGGAAGACATAGGGTTTTTTTAATGTTTTGAAATCAGACCTTTCAAAGTAAAAGCATTGGGGTTCAAATACTTAAAAAGCTTAAATTGAGCTAGAAGGGCTTCAGATGAATGGTTGAGAAAATACACTCAATTCTTTAATTACAATCACTAAGTGATTATTGTGCCAAGAAGGATGGTGCCAAGAAGGTTTTACAAAAAAAAAAAAAAGCGTAGTGAAGATATAGAGGAGGAATAATCAATAGGGAGCCTGAGTGGCTACAAGAAGAAAGTCTCATGATGTGCCCCAAATCAGAAAGAAAAATCCACACCTTGTAATTTAGAGCAAATCTCCTTCCTTCCTGCACAACTATCTTCCATTGTCAGACAGCTTATTATAGAATGAGAATCTTGTGGCTGGAAGCATCCTTGAGAAACCTCCTTGTCCAGTCATCCTTCTACTCTAAGGTAAGACCCTACTAAAAAGCCATTCCAGCCAGATGATAATCCCTTTTGTTTATGTACCTGAAAAGAAATTTGCACAATCTCATTTTCTCCCATATACCAATATTTAACATTGACCACTGCTACGAAATTCTTCCTTATGACAAAGTTTAAGATCACTTGGACAGATAATGGTTTTTACCCTCCCTGTATACGAGCCTTTTACTGATTTTATTCCTTTCACCCATCTGTTCCCAGCATCACAAACTTGCTCCTTTCATTTTTCCCCCCAACTCTTCATTCATCTTTGTGACTTTTTTCAAGTCCTTCTATGGTCAGACTCCTAGAACTGGACATTTCTAGTGGAACGTATTTTATGATGTCCATCATATTGATGTGAACTTAGTGGGAACTAGTCTTTGGGTTCATATAGTTTCACATCTGGCCAGCTAGGTAATGCAATGGATAGAGTGCTGGGCTTGAAGTCAGGAAGACTCATCTTCCTGAGTTCAAATCTGACATCAGATAAGTTGTGTGACCCTGGGCAAGTCACTTAATCTTGTTTGCCTCAGTTCCTCAACTATAAAATGAGCTGGATAAGGAAATGGCAAACCATTCCAGTATCTTTGTCAAGAAAATCCGAAATGGGGATCCTGAAGAGTCGGATACAACTTAAATGACTGAACAGCCACAGTTCCAAATCCACATAATAGCAAATTATGCGGTCTTTTAAAAAACTTCAAAACATGGAGTGTGTGCTGGCTGTAGACCCTGCCAAAGGAGACTTTCAGTTCCATGACAACTGATGACTGACCATAGGAAAGTTTCTCCTGTTCCCTACCAAAGATTTGAGGGAAATGATTCCTATCTTTTACACATCAGCTTTGGACACAATAGCAATAGGGCTGCACAATCTGAACAGATGGCAATAGCAGACTGCCTTCCCCCTCTCCCATCACACAGATCTTGTTTAGGCACAATAGACCTCCATTTACTGGTATTCAACTATTGATAGGAATAGGAGAAGGATTGGTGTTAAACCTTTGATTATATTGGTACTGGGAGATTCTGGGTAATTTCTTCTACCCATGCAGGTTGGCCCCTTTCTCTGCAACTTTTATATAGATACGTATACATACACAAGTTGCAGAGAAAGGGACCAACCTACATACGTGTATGTATATAGAATATATTCTTAGAGTTGCCTGGGTCTCAATGAAGTGACTCATTGAAGTGTCTCAATGACAGGATCACACATCCAAAGCCAGTATGTGTCAAAGGAAGGATCTGAACCCAAGTGTTTCTGACTTCAACACCAGCTCTCTATCCACAATTCAACATTGTGTCTCTATTAACTATTAATATCATTTTTAAAAGCACTCAGGATCAGCAAAACATAGAAAAAAATATATGCAGAAAGATGAGTAGCTGGGATTGATATTGAGAAATCATGTCAGTGAATAAAATAGCTAAAATTTTCACTCAGCTACTAACAGCCTTCTCATCATAACTACCAAAGGGTCAGAAAAATCAGCTTTCAACAAAGCAGAAATTAAAACTAGACAACTCCAAGATAGTCCTGATACTACATATGTCACTAGATATCCTCAGAGGTAGAAGTACCCAGCCCAGGGCTCTTAGCTCCCTCTGTTGTCCTGAGTAATGAGGTATTGTATGACTGATAGACAGGTTAGTGGATACTCTCTTGGCTCTTGAAAATAATGTTCAATTCATCTGAATATGGGGCTACTGACTGACAGTTTGGTCATGCAAACTACCAAATCTGAGATCTCCAATATACCAAAGGAATCCTGCTGAAGGATACCTTATTTATTTTTAACAAGGGATAAACTGGGAAGCAAGTTCATCTGAGTGACCTTTGCCTAGAACTGCATTTGGAATGTGCTTTATATTTATATTTTCAGTCAGGAAGTCTGTTAAAGAATATTTTAATGCAGACATCCCGGCCGCTGACAACACCAATGAAATATGGACTTGTTTTGTTCAGCAACATAAAATAACGTTACTTCTGCTTGGGAGTTCTCTCTGTCATTAGAACTCTGCAGTCTGCAAGATCGATAAGCTTTGCTTTAAGGGGGTAACACAAAACACATACCTACATGGACATAAATACATACTTACTGCATAATAAGCCCTACAATTCTCTCTCATCAGTAGTACCTTTAAAAGTAACAGATGTATAATGATCCACATCAACGAGGTTCTCAACCTCAAATACAGTATTAGAACAAATTATATGGGAAGGAGTCAAAGGGTCATACATGTCAAGGAGAGAGAAGTTTCAAGCTGAGCCTTCTCTGCTCAAAGGGTTCAATACTTGGCATTCTCCAAGATCACATAAAGTGGGGAAGCTTTTCAACACAAAAACTAAAGACTGGTGGATGGGGAGAAAATAAATTGTTTTATTTCATTTAGGACATTTTAAGATTTTTATTGAGAGCTTCTTAAAAAATAAGCATTATCAGCCCTTAGACAAGCTCAAACACTATTATTTTGCTATATGGATATGTTGGAAACATCCAATGGTAAAGCAATAGATTCTACAGCTGGTGCTCCAACACACCACCTCACAGCCCATAGTCAAAGGCAGCAGGATCATTCTGAAAATAGAGATCAAAGAAGCCTTTATATGTCTTCACATCAATGAGGAGAGCTTCAACTGTGGGGTCCTTCTTCATGGTGGTGACCCACAACTTCAGAGCAGGCGTGTGGTCCACGCAGCTGTACAACAGAAACAGAAGCATAAGCAGCACAAAGAGGGAGGTGCCAGGAAACATTAACATCTACTAATGTGTTTATTTTGAAGTTTTATTTTGTTTTTCTTCCAATTCACCTCTACAGAACCTAGCTTTAGGTTCAAAGGACGTGAGGCACTTTTTTTTTTTAATTTAAGAAACAGACATTAAAACAACCACATAGATATTATACCTAATCCTTCTACTTCAAAGGAGGCTGACATTGAGGGGGGCATCAAAAGACTAAAGCCAGCTGGTATTCCGTGCCCCAAGGAAAAGCTGTTACACTGCAGAAGCATTGCTAGATTTCCCAAGCCCCATGAATCTAAAGGAAAGATTCTTCATCACTGGAATTGCAAGTTGCCCTGGCTGCTCTTGGCAGGAATCAATTATTCAGTTATTCACCTGCCTGAATAAATAAACTGGGTACTCTGAGTATTGCTGTAAGGGTGCTCACTTTCTACTAACCACTCTTTATGATGACCTTCCATACCAATCTTATGCTTGCTAGTGAGATATTTCTTGCACATTAAAGAGTCCTGGTATTGTGATACTTGAATGAAATGTACAGTAGTAGACTGTATTTTAGCAAGTAAACTCCATGAGACCAGAGAGGAAGAAAAAAACCAAGTGGCTGCCAAAGTGTGCTACAGCTTTTAGACTACCTTAAGCAATCAGGGCCAAGTCGGTATTGTATAAAAAACAAACAAACCTTAGACCTGGAAAACCATCAAGAGATAATTGGACACACAGACCTACAAGAACACATTCAAGGAGTAAAGCAGAAATCTGGGTATAGCTTGGCCTTTGGTAAGTGGCAGAACAATTCACTTATATTTAATACAGCAGTATCTTATTTTTAAAGTTGGTTCTTATGTATACATGAATAGATAATTGAACAAACTGGAGGGGTTTAATAAAGGAATGACAAATTGTTATTTTTACCCTGGTGTTTTATGGCAAATAGCTTTGAAATTATGTTGAGTTTTGTTCTTAAAGTTTGTTATAAAGTTATTTCAAAAACAGATGACTATCACAGACCACAAAAATCTAAAGAATAAAAAAGTAATACACTATTCCAACAATAATAAGGCTGTATTTATCAGGAAGTTTACCGCAGAAAGCAGTCAGATAACTTACTCAGCTATCTCATATGATTCCAACCGTTCAAACCAGGGCCAGATTAGGTAATCAATCATAGATACAGAGTTTCCACCAAAGAACATTGTCTTCTGCCGGGTAAGAACCTGAAAAAGTGGACAGAACAAAATTTCAGGGTTTTTTTACGTACATGTTATGATCCCTATAAGATGGCAGAAGCATTGGTGGGACCAGTCCTCCCAGGCTGCTTTCAGTTACATGTGCTTACATGCTGCTCTCTCTGTGCCTAATCTGAGCAATTTAAATGAACAGGACAAGCTCTTGATAAGCAGGTGCCAAACTGAGGGGATAGTTTAAATCACAGTAAAAAATACCAAAAGTTCTAAGGAGTTAAGAGCAGCTGGTTAATGTTGAATTTGACTTGGCTGCATCACCAAAGACACTTTGACATCCTGAACTACAAGGGTGGTCTGATTTCCATAAATGTGACCTATAAATGACAGCCTACACTCTCCACTTTTGACCATGCAACAAAGCATAAAAATGAAGCCACTTTTAAAGAATTAAGGAGAATCACCTGGAGACTCCTCCAATCGAGTCCGACAATGCATTCACCAACTAGAATGCTATAGGAACACTGAAATAGGCAAACCGGGATGGGTAGAAAGCTTCAGCCAAGCAGTGCCAGCGTAGCCCCAAGACCATCAGGGAGCCCCAGGCAAAGACAAGCCCAGAGAGACTGTGAAGCCCCATGACAGGAGCCCAGAGTCCAAGAGCAGGGAGAAAGGCATCTGGCAGAGCCTAACTCAGGGGTCGGCTCTGGGGCCCCTGGCAAAACCCAACTCTCCAGGATCCATAGAATCCCTGGAAGAAGGAGCCTAATCCTGGCCAACACACTTAGGACTAGGCAGGGTCTGCCCAGGCCACTCAGGAGTATAGCAGCAATGCATTCATTACCCAAGCACAGGCTCCCAACCTAGAATTTGCTGAAACAAGAAAACCGAGGAAAACAGCAAATACTGCAAGGAAATACCTTGGACTAATAGATGCACAGAAGGTAAACCCTGAAAAACAAAGCACTCCCACAACAAGTGGAGAGAATCTGGCCACAAGAACTACAAGTGTCGGGGGCAGCTAGGTGGCGCAGTAGGTAGAGCTCTGGCCTTGGAGTCAGGAGGACCTGAGTTCAGATCCAGCCTCAGACACATAAAACTCACTAGCTATGCGACCCTGGGCAAGTCACTTAACCCCTATTGCCTTGCCAAAAAACAGAAACAAAAACAAAAACAACAACAAAAAAAAAAAACTACAAGTGTACCTGGAAAAAATGAAACGAGGTACAAAATATAAGAGCTAGGGAGGAAATAAGGCAAACAGAACTGATACTTTAGATCAGATGGTGGAAAACCTTACCCCAAAACTGAATGCAATGAAAATTAGAATAGGGCCAAAGGGAAAATGACTATATGAGACAATAAGAAATATTAAAACAAAATCAAAAGATTGAAAAACAGAAAATATAAGAAATGTAATAATAAAAACCTGGAAAACAGGTCAAGGAGAGATGATCTAAAAATTATTAGACTATCTAAAAAGCATGACCATTAAAAAAAAACCTTGGGGGCAACTAGGTGGCACAATGGATAGAGAGCATCGGCTCTGGAGTCAGGAGGACCTGAGTTCAAATCCGACCTCAGACCAAACACTTGACACTTAATAGCTGTGTGACCCTGGGCAAGTCACTTAACTCCAATGGCCTAACAAAAAAGAAAAAAAAAAATCAAGAGTTCAAGTTAGGATCATATAAGATTTGACACTTGTCACTTATTATAAAGAAGAAGAGAATCTGGAATATAGTATTCCAAAATGCAAAAGAGCTTACAAAATATAAAAATTGAAGTATAATCTCACAGGGGGAAAAATGGACCATTAAGGAAATAGAGAATTTCTAAACATTCATCATGAAACAGCCAGAATTGAGTAGATACTGTGAAATGGAAATGTAGCAGCAAAGAGAAACACAGAAAAATACACATATTTGTTTAAATGGAAGGGAGTATATGGGGAAGAATTGTTATATGCTAATGGTTGGTAGTGGGGAGGTAAGAAACAAATGCATTCTTCCAATACTAATAACCTTAAGGGCCATAGAGAAAGGTCAATATGACAGATGGCCCATGGGTGGTTTTGTTCTGTTTTGATGGCCTCAGTAAAAGACAAAAATGGGAGGGACAGAAGATTATACTGGGAAAGAAGGAAAAAGGAGAAAAAAATGATTTCCATATAACATAAGCACATGAAATAGGGAGTATTTAATCATGGTGGAAGGATCAAGGAGAGTAAAAACCAGGAATTAGGGGTCAGGCAATGGAAAGAAAAGAGGCACAACAGAGAAGAAATAGGCCATTTTCCTTGACAGATCACAATTGTCAGACAAACTCTTTCTCTTTTACCACCTTTTTATTTATAAAGTGGAAAGCTGGAACAAAGAAAGGAAAAAGTACAAGAACACAGGAGAGAGGGAAATACACAATTAACAGTCATAGCATGAAATCCCTCATAAAAGGGAATATGGTATCAGTATGGATTAGAAAACACAATCTAACAAAATGTTGTTTATGACAACATATGAATGTTTATAACAATATATTCTATGTATAGATGTATAATATATTCTGTTTTATATGATATGACTAAGTAGTAACTTTGAAAGACTTTAAAACTCTGATTAATGCAATGATAAACCATGAATCTAGAGGACTGAAAAATACAGAATGAGAGACACGCATTTTTTGATATGGCCAACGTGGGAAATTGTTTTTGCTGCACTATGCATATTTGTTATGAGGGTTTTATTTTTCATTTCTTAAAATTGTTCAACTGAGGGAGAAGTGAAAGGGAGTGATAATAAATGCTTATAAAAAAAATTTTTAAGAAACTTATGGGCTAATTCTACAGGCAAGTCTGGCTAGAAGGGACAAGAAATTCTTGGGAAAGAAATTCTGAAGAAGCCAACATAATTCTGATGAGGAAGAAAAGTTGTACAGGGAACTCATCTACCAACTATATCTTAACAAGACATGTATAAAAGATGACAGCAAGAACAGGTAATGGGGGGCAGCTAGGTGGCACAGTGGATAAAGCACTGGCCCTGGAGTCAGGAGGACCTGAGTTCAAACTCTGCCTCAGACACATAACACTCACTAGCTATGTGACTCTGGGCAAGTCACTTAACCCCAACTGCCCTTACCAAAAAAAAAAATAACAGGTAATGAAAAATAGACATAGAGTATGACATAATGAGTATAATGTGAAGAATGCTAAAGCTTTTAGATCAATTGAGGTTGGCAAGGAAAGATAAATACAAAAAAGGAATTATTTTAAAGTGTGTGAAAGAGAGTACAGGACCCTCTCTTGGGATAGATGGAATGATAAAAGAAATAAAACAAAGCTGCTCAACTCTTATTTTGCTTGTTTTCTCTATCAAAAAGAATGCTCTTTGAACTGGAAAACAGAGAATAAAAACAAGTAGCATGGAATTAATATTCAAGATAAATAAGGACAGAGGGCATCCAACTGTCCTTGATAAGTTTAAGTCAAAAGGCCCAGATGAACTCCATAATGGGGCACTTTTTCTTTCCACAGTATTAGAAAAGGCAAACATTTCCCCAGTTTTGAAAAAAGAATGGAGTCTGCAGACTACACAGTTCTGTGAGTTTGATTTAAATTCCTGGCCAAAATCTGGAATGGATTATGAAAAAGATAGTGAGTGAACATTTGGAAGAGGAAGCCATGCTCATAAAGAGCAAGCAAAACTTCATAAAGAACACACCACTCAAGTCTAACCTCATTTTTTGACAGGAGAATATCACAGATACAGTCTACCTGGACTTAACAAAATATTTGACAAAATCTTCTATGCTGTTCTGCAGACAAGAGGGAAAGATGTGGGCTAGATTAATAATAAAGTTAGGCAGATTTAGAACTGGTTGTATGGTCAGATCCAAAAGGCAGCCACAAATGGCTCAATACATTGCTGGGGGATGGAGAGGGAAGGAAGAAGGAAAGAAAGAGTGAGTTCTGAACCTTCGTCTTATAAACTCTAACCTACTATGCTCCATAATTATTGAATTACAAAAAAAAGTTGACTATTAAAAGAATCATGTTTAAAAGCTCTACCAGAACTTGCTATTTATAAAGTAATTCTATGAGAAATTCATTGGCAAAGTGAAAATGTATTTTGTAAAATGAAAGTCAACTGGTATAATGGAAAAAGGATACTAGACTTTTTGTAATTAGGAGACCTCAGTTCCTATCCTAGCTTCAATAAGTACTCACTGTACAACCATAGGGAAGTCATTTGATATCTTAGAATATTTATTTATCTATAAAATGGATGATACTATTACTATATCATCAAATAACTTATCACTAACGAAGTCCAATATCTCAGAATTCTACTAAACTAACAATACTGACAGTCAGAATGATGGGTCAGAAAATTCCAACTCACTAAGAGAAGTTACCAGGTTTAGACACTGGTTGGTTATCCTAGTTCATCATCAAAACGTCAACAGACAATTAAACCTATGTTAAACAAATATCTCAGTGTGAGACCTTCAAATTAGGGTGTGAACAACTACTCAGACCTAGGTTACTTAATAATTGATAATCATGCCATGGAGTTAACTAATCTTTCTGCTGAGAAGTCTAATACGAGGCAGAATGTCATAGTGGACGATAATGAAATTGGAGTCCAGATGATCTGTATGTGAATCCTACCTGAGACACTTACTAGCTATGGGAATGTGGGCAAGTCATTGAATCCCAGTCTGTTTCCTCACCTGTAAAATGAGGGGATTCGATTCAATGATTACTAAGATTCCTTCCAGCTCTAAACCTGTGATCCCATGAATAAGAAACTCTATGGTTTTCAGTCCAAATTCTTCCCCTTAAAAATGCAAACTGTTTAACTTGCTCTGTTTGTTGAATGAATGATAGATAAAACAGGTTAAACATCCTTTGGCACAAAGGTACCATAAATCACCTATCCGTGCCAGAATCACGTAAAAGATGGGCATCCAGGATTTTAAATAGTTAATCTGACCTAAGGGATACTTGTTAAGAGCCCGAGTGAAGATACGTC